CATGTTTATCTCCTTACATCACATTTTCCACGTGAAAGGCACTGTAATTAGTCCATTTTATAAAGAAACCTAGGCTTAGATATTAAACAACTTGTATAATAATAGAATGTCACAAAGTGTAGAGCCTTGGTTTGAAAACTGGGCCCTCTTAATTGCTGGACGTGATGTGAATTATGTTAAAGCCTTGATGTGCTTACCCATAACGTTTTCACATACTGTATTTGGGTGACTTCCATTTTAGTGAAGAAGGAAGGAAACACTGAACAACCTGCTATGTGCCTGAGTTTGCTGTAGTTATTGTGTCTGTAGGAATTTGTGACAGTAGTACTTTAAGTTATCAGTAAAGTTTATAAGATTAATTAATTAAAGGCCCTGACAAGATAATTTACACAAGATAACTTCCTTTTGTGATCCAGTTTTGTAATGCTTACATAACAAGGCAGTGACTAAAATATTGATAATTTGCAGTGTAAAGAGCCTGGGCTTCAGGGTTAACAGACTTGCTTTCACCCAGTGTGTGTGACCCTGGGTGTATTATTTAACCCCGTTGAGCCTCTTTCCTTAACCATGAGCATTCATTCATTCATTCACAGGTCTTTATTGAGGCCTATTTTATGCCAGCCCTCCACTCTAGGCACTGAGGATACATAACAGCAGGAACAAAGAAGATTGGATGTGGGTTTGGTGACTTGTTTTCTTAAGCTAAATTTGTTCATATTAATCTATACAAGTTTGAGAAGCATTCTTTAATATTGTGGTCTGTATATGTGAGAGAAAGGAGACAGGCAGGCACTAAATATTAAGCCTTATGTGGGGCCATTTACTAAGGAACTGCAGTCAGCTATCCTTTCCTCCAAGGTGAGCCCATAGCTTGCTGTGGGCATATTTGTATTCATGTATTTCGTATCGTGTGATACACATGTGAGAGGCAGTATCCTTCAAAGGTGCAGGGTCTTTATCACATCTAAAAATCATTAACTCAGGCTCTCAAAATGCTGGTCTACAATCTCATCTCAAATCTAGTAGTGCAATTACACAACATAAAAACAACACTTTAGGGGTGGCGTGGTGGCTTACGCCTGAATCCTAGCACTCTGGGGAGGGAGGCGGGTGGATCACTCAAGTCAGTAGTTCGAAACCAGCCTGACAAGAGTGGAGACCCCGTCCTCTACTAAAAAAATAGAAGAAATTTAATTGGCCAACTAAAAATATATAGAAAAAATTAGCCGGGCATGGTGGCACATGCCTGTAGTTGCAGCTACTCAGGAGGCTGAGGCAGGAGGATTGCTTGAGCCCAGGAGATTGAGGGTTGCTGTGAGCTAGCTGACGCCATGGCACTCTAGCCCGAGCAACAGAAGTGAGACTCTGTTTCAAAATAAAAACACTTGGCTGAGCGTGGTGGCTCATTGCCTGTAATCCTAGCACTTTGGAGGCTGAGGTAGGAGGATTCTTGAGCCCAGAAAGTTCAAGGGCAACCTGAGCAACATAGCAATTCTGCATCTTCACAAATAATAGAAAATAGTTGAGTGGTGGGGCTTGTACGTGTAGTCCCAGCTACTTGAGAGGCTGAAGCAGGATTGCTTGAGCTCAGGACTTTGAGGTTGCAGTGAGCTATGATGACACTACTGCACTCTAGCCCAGGTGGTAGAGCCAGATCCTGTCTTAAAACAAAATGAAAAAAACAAACAACAAAAAAAAATACTTTTAATCTGACTTTTCTTCCAAGCAGAAAGAAGGCAGTTTTTGATACTGGGTTGGCCATTCTTGGAATGACTATGAGGCTAATAAACTATGGGTTCTAAAAAGGCAAGACATTTACTGGTCATTATTGGGGAAAAATTGCCTATTAAATGAAGTTTCTCTAATTATTGCTAGTCATTGATGCCTTTGGATTAATACCAAAAAATCATCAACTTTTAATAGTTAAATGTGATTTGTCATGTGAAGCACATGAAAATACCCAGCATCAGTTTCAACGTTAGTACATCTCCCATTCTAACTTGAGTCCAAGTCTTCTGCCCAGAGTATTGAAGCCTAGCTGCTATAGGCAACTACCGAGCCTCAGCCTTCTGGCATTGGAAGTTAGTAGTGATGGAGAGGCTCGACCAGGCCATATAACCCCACACTTTCTGAGAAAAGAGGGGTTGAGTACAGACTCATTAATAAATCAGACTTAGTGTCTTCTCAAGTCTGACTGAAGAAACACCAATAGTGATCTCCTAACTATGCTACTTCTGGGTTGCTTTTTGTTATTCCATTGAGTATTGAGTATATCCAAAAACATCCGTTTATTTCCTGTGTCTGCTCTTAATCATTCTGACCATCCTACTTGCTCTCCTTTCTGATTATCCCTTATCTTGCCTTCTGCCTGTGGTCTGATTGTATTTGTTTAATCATTAACTTTGAGTAGTCTCCCAATCCTGAGTATGCAAATCCAGTCAGTTCCCTGTTTTAACACAGTGCTCCTATTGCCTTTAGGATAAAATCCAGAGTTCTTAGCATAGGCCTTCTGCTCAATTCCCTAGGCATCATTGGGATTATCGTCTCTAGCCACCACTGCCACCCCGCAGCCCCCACGCATACAGTCTCTAGTTGATCATTAATATCTGGCAATCCTAAATGCACAAGGTCCTTACTTATTTATTTCATCTGAACCTCCCCAAACCGAAGCTATCATATAATTTAGCAGCCAAAACAGGGCATTGTGAAAGTGAAAGGAGATGCTGTCACAAATTACTCCAGGGCCCCAGGGGTAATCTGGATGGATTCACTCCTCTTGAGCCTAGCCAATTTCTATAGCTTAACCTCAGATGATCTAGAAGCCCTGACTTCTTAGACTGTGTTTCCAATGGTTCTCAGCATGGGACATTTTAGCCCCCTCCCCCGGGACATATGCGTGTTTGGAGATACTGGTTATAGTTGCCAACTTGGGGGGGGGGGCTTCTAAGTTTCTGACACATGTGTCTGGGGTGAGGCCTAAAAATTTGCATTTTCCACAAGCAATGGTGCTGCTGGTCCAGTCTGAGATCCCCACTTCATAAGCAGATCTCCAAGCTTCATGATGAAGAAAAGAATATAGGGAACTGTCAAGCATTAAGTGAGACAGAAGCACATGAAAATACCCAGCATACATAGACAGTGTGGAGAAGGGAACTGGAATTCCTTTTAGTCGTCTCCTGGTCTGGAAGAACATTCCTTTAGTGGTGTGCTGAGACTACAATGGTAGCATAATCCAGCAGAATCAGCTGTACCCAATACACTGCAGTTTCTATATTAATTGCATATGGGGGCTTTAGCAATTTTGAAGCACAGTGAGGTTTGCTTTCTGAGGGGCGCTTGGAGGGGAATAGGCCCTAAACTGTGGCCTGTTTGTTCTTTCATAGGTATATTCTGGCTGGTCGTATACTCACAGTTTTCTTTGTTGAGCACATTCCCAGAGTGATTTCTTTCTTTTTTTTTCCTTTTCAGGAACAAAAAGTTACCCTTTGTTTGTACTGCCTTCTTCCACACGAGCGCCCCTTTGGCAAAAGAAGATTATTACCAGATATTAGGAGTGCCCCGAAATGCCAGCCAGAAAGAGATCAAGAAAGCCTATTACCAGGTCTGTATGGGAGTCAGGATTTTAGTGACAATTGTGGAAGGAATGCTGTTGATGTAGCGTGATTCTGTTCAG